GTCTGCCCTAGTCGTAGACGTAAGGCGGAGAAAAACTTGAGTCGTGAAAGTCCATTGTATACGACTTCAGTTTTTCTCTGCCTTGCCTTACGTTTACGACTAAAACAGACTTAGGTCCAGTTTCACCAACGTTGTTTAACCTTATGCTTAGCTTAATTCGTTCTTTGTCTCTACCCAGCTGTTACTTTAGAAGGAGACAAACGTGAATTAAACTAAGATTAAAGTTAAGCGACGTTGGATGAAACCGGGCCTTAGCGTTCACGGATCGTTTTCTGCCATCAGCCTTACACGGGGAGGATTTTCTCTTAAAATTTACCTTGAACAAACTTTTTCAGAGTTTGTTCAAATTTTACCATACATTTTACTTACTTAGTATCTATTTTATTGGTAAAATGTATGGTAAAATTTCAAGAAACTCTCATAAAATTCTCCAAAATGCCAAATCCCACGATTACATGATTTTCAAGATAAATTTTGAGAGAAAATTCTCTCCGTGTGTAAAATCGATAGGGATTTGAATCTTCCGACGTGATCACCTTCGAGTAAACGACTGGTTTCATGTCCGTTAGTACGGATATTAATTTCGCTAATGTGTTTGGTGAGTTATAATACCAAAAAGAAATGAAAATACCGTGTTATCAAGTTAAACATATTTTTACATCGGTTGTCCCACGATTACATGGACGTGTACATTTAAGATCATAACTTAAATCGTAGTTTAATTCATGTTTGTCTCTTTCTAAAGTAACAGTTGAAAAGAGACGAAGAACTAATCAAGCTAAGCTTAAAGTTAAACAACGTTGGTGAAACCGGGCCTTAGTGTGTTATAAACCAATCACGGAGCTGTATTAGCATTTTAAAACGTTACTTAAGATAATTTTGAAATAAAAAAACGGACTGTGAATACCGGCCGCAAAGTTTTCTCAAGACTTTACACGCGTTCGATTATCCGTAATCCGTCCGTGTTTAATTCACGTTGCAAAAGAAATTGTAAACAAAGAATATTCTTCCATCTCGCGGTAGATACGTAAGTAAATGAAATCTCCGACGACATAAGAATACTCGATCAGCATTACGTGCCGACATTCCTGCCGTCTTTCTTCCCAGAAGCCACTTCCGGTGAGTCGCCGATGACTCACGTGAGTCGACTACGAATTAAAACACGCCACGGTTCTCCCGTGATCTTCGCCGCAAAAGCCATGGACCAGTCGTGAAATTATCCACGGGAATAAAGATACACGTAAAAAAAAATAGAGAGCGAGGCGACTCAAGGTAGTCTCGTTTAAAAGCTCCGAAGCTCCGCACATCGAAACGATTTTTAATTTCGCTCCTAAGCTGCCGCCGTAGACAAGCCACGAATACAATTCCGCTCGCAGTTCTATGTATCGTTTATTTCCTCACATTGTATTACGAGATCAAATATTCTTCGCAATACAAAGTATACAAAAAAATATATAAGATTTTGTCGCGAATTGGGTCACCCGAACTGGACTAAAATTTCCTTCCTACCTTACACTGAAGCTTCGAACTCGATCTTTTACTTGGTTTTCAATTTTAAATGTAATTTATATTTTAATATATTAAATATTTTAATACGTGTTTATTATAATATACATTAATATTTTAATATATATTTTAAAAAGTACAGCAGCGCCAGATTGGTTTCGGCGATAAGCTGAATAAATTAAAAATAATGAGAAAGTAGAAACGTGAATCGGCCCTCCCTCGAGAGCGAGTCGAGTGACTCCGAGTATCAACATTTTTACATACGCGGCGCCTTCCATCTTTTTCCTGAATCGATAACATTTTAAAACTTTGTACACGTCTCACTCTGGCGCGCCGCTAACCTCGTGTTCGGCACCCAACCTGCACCCCTCGATATTAAAACGATTAGCCCCTGTTCTTTTCTCCCGTCGCCGCGTTACGGGCTTAAATTAACGAGATTCGTGTCAACGCTTCAGATTCGATGGACTCTGCGACTTCGGATTCACGCATCGGGCTGTAGGGTATCATCTTTGTGATCGCGACGAAACCCCAAAGGCCGAATCAGACTAGGAATTGTCGACGCGACTGGATTGGGATTGGCGATTGTCTTCTATCCAATGAGAGCCGATTAAATCGCTGGCTGCTTGGCTCTCATTGGCTAAAGGACAATCGTCAATTCCAATTCAGTCCGAGTCAACAATTGCTAGTCTGATCATAGTAAAACAGGTGGGTCCATTCTGTCATTTGTTTCGCGTCGATCCCTTCTGCGCATCCGACATTGCTCTGGGCAGACTAGGGCAGACCAATGTGAGAAAAGTTGTATGTATGGTAGTGTGACCTCGATGAGTACGTATACACACACGCGTCGCTGGATTCTGCCCGAGTGTATGGCGGAATACCACGTGACCGGGACCGCAAAGATCAAAGGTGCCGGCAGAGAGTGGACCTACCAGTTATACTATGGTCCGGTTCGGCCTTAATGCAGGATTCACACTGGATCCGATAACCGACGTCCGATATCTAATCCAATCCCGAGTCGAAATTTTGGTACTATTTTAATACCTTTAAGGATAATTTACACCTACATAGATCAGCAATAACGTACTTTGACATATTTTTTACTCCTCCCTTGAATCTTTCATTCCAAAAATTTACTTTAGCTTCTACTTAAAAGGACCTAGTTTAATGCTAAATTGGCAAAAAAAAGAAATTTCCGACACTGTCGGTTTTAAAGTGGGAGTAAATTTTGTACTTGCAGTTCGACCTCTTTTACTGTCTTAGGTCCTACTATATAATAGAATTAAAGGTTTAACGTAGGGCCAGAACTTCGACTCGGGATGGTTCTTACTTTTGGTTCCTCGTTGAATCTAAATGTATAAACCAATCACGTTGAGTGTCGCTTCTTCTTTGTCTAATTCTTGGCACCCGGCTCTAACTCGGAGCCGACACGGCCACGTCGAACCAATAATCGTTTGTGTATTGCTTAGTTCTTGATAGTCGACGCAATGTCAAACAGTTCACAGAATGCAGAGGCCCAACTGTCGGGCCTCGCGCGGGGTGATGCAGGTTGCGGTCAAGCTGCCGCTATAAATGCTTCGAAGCGTTTCTTTTTTCTTTCTATCTTTACTGAAAGAAAAGAGAAGAAGAATACTTCGTAACATTCGAAGCGACAGCTTGACCGCAGCCGCAATCGGATGATGAATCCCCCCCCCCCCCTCGAGTACCAAAAATTCCTGTTCTAGGTTAGAAAACGTGCAAGTCGCTCAACGTCCCGAACGGAACTGTTGGCTATCGCATCCAGAACGAATCCTGCGTAAGGCCTGGTCTACAATGAGTTGCCCGAGGGGGAAACCGCTGAGGGCATTGCGGTGTACAGATTTGCGGCATTACTGGGCATTACTAGGCATTTTTTGGGCATTAGTTTGGGCATTAGGCTTTGCTGGAGCATTATAGAGATAAAATAAGTTAAAACAAGAGAAATAAAATAAATTAAGATAATAAGACAAAGTAACTTGGCATTAGTGGGCATTGGTGTACAAGATCTTGGTTAGCGGTTTCCCCCTCGGTCAATTTTTCTTTATCTCTCCCTTTTCGACTTCTGATTAACGACTCAAGAATTCATTGTAGACCGAGTCTAATGGACAAATTTTTCGAATGAGCGAGCTCAACGACGACCGACAGACGACGACAAAGAGATAATCTCTCGACTCGCGGGTCTGAGTTTTTTCCTCCGCCGATTGGAAAGAAAATGTGTATTACGCGAGCGGGAGGCAAGGGAGAGACGAGAGAAGACACGGGTGGTAGGCGAGGAAGGCAGACCGGACCCGATCCGCGCTTTTCATCTCGATACTTTTCTCCCCGGTTGTATTTTCCCGCGTCGCTGTACATTCCAGTCACTGGCCGTTTCCTCCCCCACCCCTCGTCGAAGCCGCGTGGGAGCACGGCGTCTATTTTATTTTAAACGCCGAGAAAGAGAGCGCGAGAGGAGCCAACGGCCGAAAAGAGCCTCCGCCTTTGTCTCCGGCGATCCACCACCGCGAGGGCGCGATTTATTTATTTCTTCGTCGCATTAGTCACGCAGAAGCCCCCGGCGAGACATTCCTACAGATGCGCTCGTTAGTAACCAATTACGGGCGCCGACCGCGCGTTTCCACGTACATCCACGTGTGAAAACCGGAGGACCGGAAACAGAAGTGGGGGGAGAAAGAGAGAGAGAGAGAGAGAGAGAGACGGAGAATCGGTCCGAACCACCCGGCGTCAATTCCTGAGGTTCCTTTCAGAGCCTCGCAAAAAAGAAAGCGACAGATTCGCGTAAAACTCGAATCGTCACGTATATCGGCGAGCGCGACTCGGGTGGGCCGTGACCGTAAGAGGAAACGCTAGTTGCCCGGTGGAACGAGCCGGGCGATCTCTCTCTCTCTCTTTCTCGCTCGCACGCACGCTCACTCGCGCGCACGCCGTCGTCGTCGTTCCGCTCGCTCGGGAAAATCACGAGGAGAGATAACGACGAGAGGAAGCCACAACCGCCCGTTTCCCCCGGGATCGTCTCCAGCCGGAGGCGACCCGCGCCGAGGGGAAGGCGAGGAAACGACGGCCGGCGTGGCGCCGATTCCGCCGGTGCCGTAGACGCGGCGGACGCACGACGGGGCGATTCCCGCGGATCGTCGCGCTGCCGATCCCGGGAAAAGGAAAACAAAAAAAAACCCCCGTACGCCGGTGGTTCCCGAGCGTGTAAAAGGCGCAGCGGGAGACGGGGAGGAAGGGGGGGAGGGGGCCGAAATTACGCCGTGCGATCGTGCGGGCGAGCGAGCGGTCGCCCGGCGCGTTACCGCGAGGCGAAGGCGCGCCGACGACGCGCCGCGCCGTGAGCGATTTCCGGTCGGCTCGGCATGCCACGCCACGGCGCGGCGCGGCGCGATTCACGGCGCCTTCGCGGACGGGGCGGGGGAGGGAGGGAGGGAGAGAGAGGGCTCTTTTTTTAGCGCTCCCGTCTCTCGTCGCGTCGAGTACCTTACCTCTCGTATCTCCTGAATGCCCCGTAATCCTCGCTCGCAGAACACGGTATCTCCCAGGGTTCACTCGATAATTCTCTCCGTCGTTCTCGTTCTTTCCCTCACTAGTCTATCTCTATCTTTCCGTCTCTGTCGCTCGCGCAAGTCGGCTCTCAGGCTCTCAGGCGCGCATACACGTACACACGTAGGCAGAGGCAAGCCCGTGCGCTCTCTCGATCTCTCTTCGCCCCTCACGCGCCGCTCTCGTCCGCCTCTTCCTCGTCGCCACGACTGAGAGATCTCGGCGATTAATAAACGCTATCTGGCCCGCCCGCGCGCGCTCTCGCTCGCTCTTGTCTTACTCGGCTCGGGGCTTCTCCGTCTCCGCGCTGTCACGAGTCCATGGGGAGAGCCGAGTGTACGACGAAGCCGCCACCGCCGCCGCCGCCACCGCCGTCGCCGCTGTACGTTGACCGTTCTCGCTGCTAGCCAACCGACTAGACTGACTCCGCACTTGCTCGACGAGCGGTCGGATCGGAATTCGCGTCGCACGTAACGATCAACTGCGCTACCGGGTCTTCTCGTCCCGTCGCTCGCACACGCAGCACGCCTGATATATCGGCACTGTGCGTGCCGATCGATCCGCGGGACACACGCGACTCACTCGCTCGCTCGTGGTTCGCGCGAGGGCAACGCGAGAGCCTCGAAACAAGGCGACGACGACGACGACGCGCTGATTACGCAGAGACGGACGCGCCTCTCTCTCTCTCACTTTCTCTATCTCGCTCCGTCTCTCTCTTTCTCTCCGGTGCCGCCGCCTGCCCTTCCTGTACCCCCGCCGCCTAGATTTTCACACTCACGCGAGAGAAGACAACGCGACACCACTGCGCGATTCTACCGTTATCTAGGGCGATGCCTCTCCGCCGTTCGCCGCCGCGCCGCCGCCGTGCCCTCTATCCGCGAACAAGCACCGCCGCCATTGCCGTCGACGCAGCCGACCGGGCGAGTCGCCCGCCGCCCGCCCCGCCTTACCGACGGAGTCTGCTGGGAAATCACCAGTCACGGTCCAATCGGAAAACTCGCGATTGGACTCTAAAGCCTATCACACAATGCGAGGCAACAGGCAACAGGAATAGGGAATAGAATTTTTGACGCGTTGGATTCGTCGGAAATGTTCTTCCAACCAATCTAACGCGTCAGAAATTCTATTCCCTGTTCTTATTGCCTGTGCTTTCCTATTGTGTGACAGGCTTAAATCACACAATGCCAGGCAACAGGCAACAGGAACAGGGAATAGAATTTCTAACGCGTTGGATTGGTTGGAAGAAAATTTGCGACGAATCCAACGCTTCAAAAATTCTATTCCCTGTTCCTGTTGCCTGGCATTGTGTAATAGGCTTTATTATTGGTCACGTTCAACGGAGGATGTTGCTCAATGAGCGCTTGCGTCGATTCGATTAATCTAGAAGAATAGTTCTATCACAGCACAGATCTACAAGTATAACCCAATCAACGCCAAGCGCTCGCTGAGCGATTTTCCCTCCACTGAACGCAGATATTTCTCAGGGGCTCGATTCTTGAATTTATTCGAAGGAGAAACGTATGCGAAAATTCTGCTCCTGCAGAAAAGTTGCAAGTTGATTGGCTACTCGCATGGCTTTAACTAATAGACTTTCAACTTTTCTGTCAGAGCAGAGTTTTCGTATACGTTTCTTCTTCGAATAAATTCAAGAATCGGGCCCCAGGGCTGCTCTCGCGAGAACATCAAAATGTGATTCAGATTAAAATGACCTTGTGCTACGATTGGTCAAATCTGGAATTTCATTGAATAAAATTTCAATGTGATGCTATGAAATTTCAGATTTGACCAATCATAGCACAAGGTCATTTTAATCTGGATCGTTTTCATCTTCTCGCGGAAACAGCCCAGAAAATCAGCTTCACCGTGATTTAAATTTCAGTTCGAAGTAACTGATCGCTTAATTTCGAATGATTTACGTAATGTAGAATCTACATGAAAAAGGTCCGTGGAAATATAATGCGAACAATACACGAACGATCCACGCGATCTTGAAATTTGCCGCTCAACCCCCAGTCCGAAACGGTAGCAACAATATGGACGTGCGCAATCGGAGCTGCTTTCGCGAGAAGATCGAAACGATCCAGATTAAAATGACCTTGTGCTATGATTGGTCAGATCTGAAATTTCATAGCATCACATTGAAATTTTATTCGATGAAATTCCAGATTTGACCAATCGTAGCACAAGGTCATTTTAATCTGGATCATTTTGATCTACTCGCGAAAGCAGCCCGGATACTTTACTTTCCTTAAATTCGTCTTTCTCCCTCTCCATCATATTATTAATATATAATATTATAGCCGGTATTCAGTCTTAGATTTATCTACAGATGCTGTATGGAACATTTCATTGGCTATAGCTCGATCATGAATCTTTTTCTCTAACGTAAACGCGTGACAAAAGTGAGCAAAATTTTCACTTTTCACAAGTTCGCGCTAGAGAAAAAGATTCACGGGGCTCGATTATGAATCTCCAAATTTCATTGACGAGTTTAATATTTAACAATAAAGTTTCTCGCACTTTTCACGACTCACGATCGAGCCCCTGATTATGAATTCCGGCCTGTGTGTCTATGCTTTCAGCAAGGAAATTGCTTAACATTTCATTCGGTCGCATAATTAGTCCGTCTTACTCGCACTTTCTGCACTCGGATCTCTCGCTCTACCTTTCTTCAAAATATACCCGTCTCACTTCAGGCTCGGGCACGAGAAAGGGGGGGAAGGGCAGCGGGTGAGTAAAGCGAGCGGACCTAGCGTTACCTTCCGCGAGTCGCAACGACGGGAATGTTTTGAATTGAACCTTGAACGAGGCAGAGCGTTCTTTAAAGTCCACGCGCATGACTTGGCCTTTTAACATCGCGCGCCTCGTACCCCGGCTGCGACGAACGCGCGACACCGCCGCACGACATGAAGACCGATCTCAACTGGCCTAACCGCAAGCTGAAATGCGCGGGCCAGGCGGAGATACTGCGCTCGCATCAGCGGGACGACGATTTCGTGAGGTACCTGCGGGAGAAGCTGTCCGAGGTCTCGCAGAATTTCGGTGTGCACCGAACGCTCCTCCAGTACATCCGCTCCGACACTCCGCTCAAGTTGCTGTACTTCGTCTTCACGTCGGGCATGGGCAATCAGACGTTGGGCGAGGAGTACACCGGCATCGTGCAGGCCAATTTGGAGCAGCGTAGAGTTCCCACATTGACCGTACGTTCGAGAGATTTGCTAAACCCAGTCCACAATGAGTCTCGTTAGTTTTCTTTCACCCAGAAAGAAGAAGCACCGGCGTCTGGTTCTGACTTCTGATTGACGACTAAGGCTGATGGCAGAAAGCGATCCGTAAACGCTTAAGTCTGTCTTAGTCGTAGACGTAGGGCAAGATAGAAAAACTCAAGTTGTGAAAGTCTATTGTAAAGTCAGTTTTTCTCTGTTCAAGCCCAAAGTCTGCTTAGTCGTAGATGTAAGGCAAGGCAGAGAAAAACTCAAGTTGTGAAAGTCTATTGTGTACGACTTAAGTTTTTCTCTGCCTTGCCTTACGTCTACTACTAAGGCAGACTTAGGGCTTGAGCAGAAATATTGTCGTAACCGTTCACGATCCCGTTGTAAGGCTAATATTACATTTGTCGTGTGACAAATTTAATTTAGACTGAGACTTAAGTCGGTGTCGAAAGTGAACAAACCAAAAATTGTCGTATGTCGCCTCGCGACGTGGAGGATACGATATACGTCTACTATTCTTCGTGCGTTAACTCTCGACGCCGACCTAAGTCTTACGACGGAATCGTAAACCGTTACGACAATCTTTCTCCTCAGGCCTTTAAGCGTTTACGGATCGTTGTCTGCCATCAGCCTTACAACTCATCGCAAACTGGGCTTGGCCTATAATGAAGACGATTTTTGGCGACTGTACAACTCATTGTAGACGGGGTCTTACAGAACTCTCTGGAATGACTCTGACAAGTTGATTAAGTTCCGCCTGTTTCTCCTTGTTAGGTGAGGGTACTAGCTGCAGTCTTAGAATGCCTCGGCGAAAAAGCGTTGCTCAAATTACTGCGACACTTGCAAGCGTACGTGAACGATCCACGTAGACAGCTGACTCCGGCGGCGGTGACATTCCTCAACACCCTGCTGTCCAGGTTGTGCACGATGATACCCATAATTGTGTTACTCCACAAAGGGATGTTTTACATTTATGGTAGATACTACAGCCTGGGTAGGAGGATTGCCGGCTTAGATTATACGAAGGTAAATTTTAACCTCTGCTCAAGGTGGAAATATTTTACTGAAGATAAAATTTTGAAGTGCAGTTAAAAATCTCTCAATTGATCCCATTTCATTGATCTTTCTTTGTAAAATTCAGTGATGATGACACTTACATAATTGTTCCAAGGTATATGGTCCTCGGCCAGTGGATACTGTCAGCTGGGGTTTAAGATTACTAGGAGTTGCTACCCTAATTCAATGTCTACTGAGATTCTGGCAGAGTAGCACGACGCAAAACACTACTGCTCTAAATATACCCAATGCCAAACACACAGCTGTCGGTCACAGTTGTCAACTGTGCCTCGAGACGACAGCAACGACCGCGACGCTGTGCGGCCACCTGTTCTGTTGGAGCTGCCTCAGCGAGTGGTTGCGCGTCAAACCGCAATGTCCGTTTTGCAGAGAATACGTACCACCGTCGAGAATTGTCCACGTGATGAATCTGTAATTTTCTGTGATAATCGAATCTATTCCTTCAATACACAGTAAACCTTTGATTTAACGAATCAAACAGTAGCGCAGTACATAAAACGCCGCATCGTGCGTTTTTCTTATCACATTTGTTTTGGGCAGATTCACTGTATTTCTGCCTCGAAGTATTGTATGGTTGTGTACAGAGTGTCCTTTGTAATTTCTGAATTGTAACTTTATTAAATAATTCTATTTAATGGACTTTAATGGATACCTCTTCCTTCCATTAGTTCGTTAAATCAAGAATTTACTGTGTATACGTAAAGTAAAAATTGTATATATTTATATATGTTACATGTTTACAAGTAATATATTTTGAAGACAAATATGTCATCTTTAAAATAAAAAGAATTTGTTCAGTAATTTTATCTATTTTTCTTTTAAAACAATTTGTTTCAAAATGTGAGATTTCCAAAACTATGTATTTGTCAAAAGATCCAAGTACTCTTTATCTAGTAAGTTTATAAACTAAGTTTATAAAGGTATGATCAATTAGTAAGAATTGATTTCATGTTCAAAGAGACGAAAGCGATAATAACATATTTGCCTATGTAGACATATACAAAAATATCAAGTTTTATTCCATTATTTCCGCACGTATTGTGCTACATTTTATATAACAGTCCAATTCTGAGACAAACAGTAATAATGTACAATAGTCCTATTTTCAGTTTATAAACTAATTTTATAAAATTATCAATTGGGCAAAAGTATTATTAACAATATAATCGACTTTTACTATTCCAAGATCCATTGTCATATATATGTATATATATTTCTGTTATAAAGAAAATCTCTCTTTTTATGAGAGATTCTTTTTCTCTTTAATGAGTTTTAATTTTTTAAAACTTAAAAAAGTTAATTTAAAGTAACTTTTGGAAGTTTTAAAAGTTGTAACATGTAATTAAAGAGATTTAATTGCATGTTACAATTTCCCTGTTCTCTTATTTACATCTGTCTACATTTACCATATAAAATCATATTAGAAAAAAAACAAGTTAAAGACAAGACACGCAAGACATAATTTAATCCTGTGTACATGCAATTAGAAAAAATAAAAAATTATTAAAACAGAAGAAACACTACAATAATCCTAGAATAGAAAAATCGACTATAAATTTATGCTCGTGGAAAGTCACCGAATAACATTTGTCACTAGGATGTGCGTTGAATGGAAGTCATCCCAACAATGTTTCCAATGTATTGGCTGATTCCACCTGATTCGTCCTTTAATCGAAATCCATGAGGTCCATAAGCCTTATAAAATATATTTCGAAGGCAATGCAGCCGTTCTTTGCGTCTAGAAGCAAAGTGTTAAAACAAGTTGCAAATCGTACAACAAGATAACGAATGTGGTTCAATCTAGAAATTTACACTCAAGACTCACTGTGTCTGGGATACACTAGTTTCATCGTCATTTACGTTTGCACTGCGTTCTTGCGACGTACGGCGACTTCTACGGCAAGTAGTACATGATGGCTTACAATCTGAATCGGGCGTGAATAGGTTGTCCAGATGTACAGCATTAGCAGTCGTGGAGCCACAGAGGCTACCAGTCCCCGTTACCAATTGCCACGAGTCGCCAGAAGACGTCGAGTCGTTTCGTTGTCGAATATGCGGATTGCGTGGTATGGGAACACCGATCGGAGACGTACGATTTGCGGGCAACGGCGAACGAGATTCTTGCGCGGCACCACCCTCTTTATTTGGAGATGTGGTAAGTGTGCCGTGTGCAAGATTTCTATAACATAAAGAAACACACGTTAGAAATGGAAAACAGGATGACGGTAATATAAAAATGCTGCGATAACGATTGAAAGGAAATAATTGAAATAATCGTACACATTGTTTCGTGGGTCATCTTGATTGTCCAGGGAGTCGGTGAGAAACACAGCTGGTGATGAATCGCCGTCTACGCTATTTTGTTCAATAGAACTGGATGAACTGTTCTTGGGGCTGAAACTGGAGTTTGTAATGATCTCGAAAGAATCGCTGTCAATCGCAAAAGTTTCCGTCTCGCTGCGTTTCGACGTTCTCTCGTAATGCTTGTGTATGCTGTACTGTTCGTGTTCAATGTATTTTAAGAAATCGAAGCAGAAAAAAAGTATCTCCTCTCCTTTGTTGAGTCGATCCGCCAAGTCGTGCCCGAAAAGCATCCAGTCGTAAGCGATGGTGTAATACAGCAGCTGATACGAATCCAGCGTCGTATGAATGACCCCATCAGCCCACAGACTGATTCTCAGTAAAGAAATAAATAGCGGCGTGCGGTCCCAGCCTGTAAGCAGCGTATTAGTCTCATTAGCAAAATGTTTATTTGGTTCATTTCAACGGAGCAATATACGCCCGTACCTGAGATGCAGTGAATCAGTAATCCCTTCTTACTTTCGTTCAGATATCTCAGTATTAATCTTAAATAGTTCTGCGTTAATTTGACTAGATTCCATTCCGTATACTGATCCCAGTTGACTCGTAATTGACTGGAGATTGGGTCCTCAGGTACACATATTGGCGCGTCTATGTAATTCTGGCACCAGTTAAACACCAGATCCTTGGAGCGATAATCTTGGTCTCTAAACTCCTTGAAGAACTCACATCCGGGATATGGCAGTGAAATGAGGTTAAAGTTGCTGTACCGCCTCTCTTGGTCTACCTTTTCCGACGAGGTTACGCTGAGTACCGAACAAAAGAGTTCTGTTTAAAGGCCTCTAAAAGTGGATTTATAGAATAAAACGGACTGCTCATACTGACAACTATTATTATGGAACTTTACTGTGTTTTCCAAGATGGACATCTTATTGGAATAAATATTGTCTACGTATGCAGTTTTCATCTGGAAAAGCTGTACGTGCTTGGCTCTAAACGTTATTACAAGCCGTGAGCTTCACTCATCGTTTACCGATTCAACGAAATCAATACTTTTCTTAGAGAGCCATCTTGTTTTTCTTCTATTTGCGTTACACAAGAAAACAACTTTTAACATTTTCCTCGATAACTACGCTACCGAAATTACCAAACAAAGTTTAACAGTCCGCTTAGTCCTAGTAAAATACAAACAAATACAAGAGAGACACTTAGTATCGCCCTTACGTCATCCCATATTTAACTTTCTTCTTCTCCACCATAAAGTCCACGATGGTTCCCACGTCGAGAGTCTTAAGAAGTTCTATGTCGTAATGTCTAACTTTATTTTTCAAGTCGGTGAGCTTCGGTTCCTCCTTGGGTAAACTCTCCTCTACCTGCGCAACCGGCTGCACTGAGCTGGCGCCGCCGCTGGCTACGCTAGATAGCAAGAAATCTAATCCGGCTCTACCGAACATCTCCGGGCTGCTGGACAACGTCGAGGATCTGCATACGTGTCTGCCCTTGTAAAGTATTACTGGCACGGGAAATCTTGAACGGCATCTGGCGAATCTTGAGTGGGTCATCAGTTTCAGTAGCTTGTTCCTTAAACACGTGCTGCCGTACGTATTTTCCATCACGTACGGCGACGCCACCGGCGGCGCGTCGCAGTTCTTCGAGTTTCGAAACTTGTCGTGCTCCAATATTACAAGGTAGCTGGGATAATGCGCGCAGAGCTCACCGCCGCTGTTGTCTATTGTAGAGTAGTCGTAATCAAAGGCCGCAAGCAGCATACATCTCTGCATGATCTCCTGATTCTGCAAGAAAAGATACACGGCTCGTTAAACAACTCAATATTTAATCGCAAGGCCTGAGCAGATTGTCCTGTACATTAAGACTTTTTATGTCTCAAGCCTATGGCTATCTCAGTACTCGTAGTCTCAGAGATACAATCATGAATCTTTTCCTCGACTCGTGGAAAATTTTTATTCACAAATATTGAATTAATTGATGAAATTTTTCGCTTTTCACGAGTTTACGCTAGAGAAAAAGATACACGATCGAGCCCCAGATATAAAGATGTTGTATGGAACGTTTCATTGGCTGCCAAGTATTGAAGTATGAATTTAAGACAATCTTAAAATATAAGATCCGACTATGAATACTGCCCTTCGTTTTCAAGTGACCCACAAGAATTGTCTTGTGTTTGAAGAGAACAAGAATAGTATTCACAGATCTTCTATTTAAGGCTGTCTTAAGATCTTTAGGGCCTGAGCCGAATGGCCGTCTTGTATTCGTAAGACACAAGACAGTTATAGTGCGTCATTTTAGCCTAATCCACAGTGTGCTCTCCGCATCTAGATTCTATGTTACATAACGAGTCGAAACGCTCAAAAAATTTGACTACAAAATAGAATGTTTCTAGACGCAAAGAGCGCATTGCAGATTAGGCGTTTAAGACAGAGATTTAAAACATAAAACATTGTCTTAACAGCACAAGGCAGCCATTCTGCTCGGGCCCTGAGATGCTGCAATGAAATATTCCACACGGTACGTTAAGGTAAACTCAAGACAGGGTCAAATACATGGACATCGACCTAAAACGGCCGTTCCGCTCAGGTCCTCGACCTTGGAGTCAGCCGCAAGGCACGTTTGCGAGACGGTTACCGTAACATCGGCATCCTTAGTCCTGTACGTGTTCTTGGCGAAGTGCGTGATGAGGTTTCGTAGACTATCTATGCTAATCTCAGTCATGATTCGCTGTGGCGCGGAGCTAGACGCGTCTCGTCGCTCGCAAGTAGAAAATTGCTGTCGCGGTATTTTCCCGAGGAGGCACTGGATTATTACGATCAAAGTTCACAAGGCCAACGGCAGCCGGCACTTGGCCGCGGCGGGGACGCGACGCGGGCACCGAGTTCACGGTGCACACGCATGGCATCGCGAATCGACGCTCGTCAAACTCGTCCCGTCGCGTTCCATCCTCGAGCGCGGACAAGGCGATCCTTCCGTGCACGCGCGACGGAGCAACGTGCGTTACCCTCGTGGACGACGACTTGGCGCGCGCGCGCGACTGTCGCGAGACGGATTTCCCGTTGCTCAGGAAAGTCTGTCGCCCTTGTGTCTGCGGTCCGCGGTCGGCCGGAGCATTCGGTGGGGGGGAACTTTCGCACGAAAACAATGCAAAAACTTTCAAAACATGATCGAAGGATACCAACGGGCTCTATTTACACGGCGACGTTTGTGGATTCGCTCGTCGATGCGCGACAAGCTGGAGGCGGAGAGAACGAGCGAGTCGTAAGGCTCCCTTTGAACGAACGTAGAGCGAGTCGGCGAACTTTGTACTTGTTGCGGGCTCAATCGCGCGCGATCGACTCCACGCGGGCGCGATTCTCTCCCGCGAACACTGAAAGAGGCATGTGCATAACCTATAAACACCACCGCGCGCGTGCCGTCGGTGTCGCCGTGGAAACATGCGGCGCACGAGCTCCTCGCCGGGGAAGGGACGGACGTTACGACGCGCCGTCGGGATTACTGTACGGTCCGCGCGTTTCCGCGACAGCGGCGGACGCGTTCCCGGGATTCCGTCGACTCGGGGGAGATCGGCGACGCGAGTGCGCGAGTGTCTGCTGCGGGCATTTTCGGGGCGGCTTCGGCTGGGAGATACCCGTCAGCACTCGCATGCTCCTCCCCTCGCGCTCTCCAAAGACGTGGAGTAGTGAGTCGGCCCGTCGCACGCACCAGCCTCGGCACCACGCTCCAATTGTCAAACGGCCGCGAGCCGTCCGAGGCGCGATTATCACGCGGTCGTCCTATCGCGGTCACGTTCCCGTACTTTTAAGGTTATCCGCGGGTCCACGGTAGCCCTCTGACGGCGGTAGGGGGGACTGGCTGCAGCGCCGCCTGCCGCGTGCCTCAGGAACTGACATCTGTCACGTGACGATTGCTCACACTGCGTTCGAATTTACGCGCGCGCCTATGTATCGTATCGGGTATTCGCATAGCTTTTGAAAGCGTATTTTTATTATTCACAAATGATCCGTACGGATGCTACACCACGGATCGTTGTGCTGGCTAAGAAATATTTCAAGAGATATTTCAGACGATCCTTACACATAAGAATTGACTATACACTCTCTAAAAATAAATTGGCGAATTATCACTGAAAACAGCGAATAGTTACTGATCTGCATCTATAAGTGTGCCACTGCAATTTTTATTTTGCATACAGGATTGCATACGGAAATGTAGTACATCACACTGGTTCGAGAAATTAGGGAAAGACAATAAAGAAATAAGAAATAAGATACGGAGCGATGAATTGGATACGGTAAAAGGGAATACTATAAGGAAGCTATGGATGGAAAGAGAAAGCAGATTACGATGTTCAAAGAGAGAAAAAGGGGAGAAAGATGAGAAGAGAGGAAGAAATGTAAATAATATAAGATCAATATAAGACTAATAAAGTATAAATTAGGAATATCAGATTCGTACAAGTGTAAGTACGAATAGGCTAAAAATTTGACATAGAATAAAGCTAAGCTTAGAATTGTTAAATTTAGGTTTCAAATACAAGTAAAGTAAGTAAATAAAGCAGTTAGAAATACAAGTCACAACGTGCAATTTTATATAATTTGAAATTATTTCTTCTTCTCTAATTGTTGTTTCGAAATTACACAATTATGAAATAAAACGGCTTGAACCTGAACTGAAAAGAATTGATTAATTTTACACCAAATAACCAATATTTACCGTAAAGTTGCCGACGTCCGATGTCTTCCCAAGGCCTCCTCCTCCATTCAAGTTGTCCTCCGGCACACTCGCGAGAGCACAAAGATCGTTCGCGCGATTTTACACTCCCGTTTATAAAGCCCGTTCGAAGGTATTCTGTTCCGTCGAGTTCGCCTCCACTTCGAGTCGACGAGTAAGTTGAGACACACGGTGTATCCGCATCTTATTGCGAGCCTCAAACACTGTCAGACACCTGAAGTGTGGCCGTCGACAGGAACGGACATTTAACGAACACTTGTTAATCCTCAAATGGGCTTTGAAAAGTCTTTGATTCGATTATTTAAACGGCACTCCCGCACGCGAAATCGGAAACTTGATGTTACGCGCGTAATTCTGCACGTGTAAATGTTAAAGAGATTATTTCTTGGCGAGTTGCGTAGCGGACGATCGAGATTCTTGTACGAATCGATCGCATTACAAGGAGCGACGCGAAGACACGCGAAACATCCGCCTCGCTCGACTGAGCCGCGCCGAATAATAGATTGTTTTCGACCGAGGGTTCACGGTGCTACGTCATTTCTTGGAAGCCGCGCTCGGCTTTCGACCGAGTTGTTTACAACGCTCGGGCTATAGCGCTACGTCATTTCTTGGAATCCGCGCTCGGTCTACGGGCGCTCGACAAAAACAAGGTGACGCAGGAGCATTCAAGCGGCAACAATTGAACGAGTTCGTTATGCCCGCGCCGTTTCGCACATCCGTATCAGCTATTAATCTGTGGTATCAGTCTTTCTCGATACGCGTTCGCGACAAGTACGGGAAGAAATCGCGATCAACGAGCCTTCGCGTTGGCGACACTGCCGATTGAGTTAATCGTCGATTAAAGGTAATCCGAGTATTCGGAAGTGGTTAAAGTGGCCCTAATCCCTGGTCCACAACAGTCCACAATCTCGCTTTAAATAAGCTGCAATGCTGGGTCTACAATGAGGCTGGATTCACATGGAGCGTAACTTGCGTAGCGTAACTTGCGTATCACCAATCACAGGGTCATTCTGATAGAACCGTTTCAATAATTCCGTTGAAATAGTTCTGTGATTGGTGATACGCAGGTTACGCTTACGCAAGTTACGCTCCATGTGAATCCAGCCTGAGAGTTGCAGAGTCGCAGTCAGAATAATCGACTGTGATTGGTCAATTCAGTCAGACACATAAGAATTAACCAATCATAAGGCCGGTATTCATAGTCGATTCTTATTTCAAAATCATCTTAAGTATTGTCTTAAGAGGCTAATACGGCTCTGTGATTGGTTAAAAACACATTAAGGCCGGTATTCATAGTCGATTCTTGTTTCAAAATCATCTTAAGTGTTGCCTTAAGAGACTAATACGGCTCTGTGATTGGTTAAAAACACATTAAGAGTATACTTAAGACGATCTTAAATATAAGAGCGGACTATGAATACCGGCCTAAGAGTTCACTCAAGATGATCTCAAATATAAGAACGGACTATGAATACCGGCCTTAAAGCACGACTGTGGACCAGGGGTAAGCGGCGGCTCGATCGCAAAGCCGTGGGAATAAATAATTTGAAAATTCGAAAGAGCCTGCCCAACGGGTACCGGGCGCGTGCGGCGCGATGGCGCCAGGCGTGCCGGCGGCCGGGGCGGCGCGCGCAGGCGCGGTCGCGCCCGACACGCCGGACACGGCGGACCGGCGGAACCGGACTCGGCGCGGTCCGAGCGCGAGGAACGCGGTATCGCGGCCCCGCTCGCAATATGGCGAGCGTGCGGTGAGGGGCTGTCGCATCGGTGCGTGCCTCGCCTCGTCTCTGCGCGCCGCAGTGACGTTCGTTGATCGGTGTCGTTCGAGCGTGAGATATGCCGGCGGTGACGCCGGCCCGTGACAGCCCGTCGTGAATTGGCGCGCGCCCACCGCGTGATCGCGTTGACGACGACGACGACGACGACGACGTCGGCACGTCTTCCCCGACGTGGGGTGAAGCAGCGTCCGCGCGCGCGACAGAGCGAGACAGAGCGAGCGCGTGAGGAAGCGCAGGTAAACAAACGGCATGAGCGCGGTACTCGGCGGCGAGACGGCGGCGCCGGCGGGCGCCCTCCTGGACACGGACGTCGAGAGCATCCTCGAGGAGAAGAACCAGCTCATCAGCCGCCAGTACGCCGAGATCGAGAGGCTGCAGCGCGAGCTCGCAGAGATCGTCGGCGAGCGGGACGCCCTGCTCTGCGAGGTGTCGAAATTCAAGTTCGAGCGCGAGATGACCGACCTCAAGCGGCTGCACGATGACAGGTAAGCGCGTCCGTCTTTCTTCAACTCGTCCCCCTCGGCCGCTCCTCCGCCTCCTCCGCCTCCTCCCACTCGCGGCCGGGAAGAAACGGTGCGAACGAGGGATCGCACTCCGCGTACACTTGTTTCGCCTGTCCCGCGAGATCCCTGCCGCTTTCCTGCTCCGTTGTTTTTCAATTTGAGCGCGGCAAGTGTGACGCCGGCCTGAGAAAGACCGGGGGCCCACGACGGCGAGATAAAAGTTCATGTTTACCGGCGTGAAAGTGCCCTGCTTACCCGCCGTCCCTTGGCGCATTTCCCTCGCGCGGTGATAAACGGCGGGCGCGTCTTCTTTTCACCCGATCGCCGGCGAGAACGAAGCGACGGGGATGAAAGTGTATATCGGAGGCGCGCGCGGAACTCGCGAGAGTCTCGTCCCTCTCTCTCTACATTTTTCGCGTTTTCAGCGAGACGAGGGTGCAGCGGCGAGTAGCAAACCCACCCGGTTCCTCTCGGACGAAGTAACGGAAGGCGCGCGGGGAGAAATTGCGGCGCGACGACGCCGCTTAAAGTCGCGTTCTCGTCCGTTCGCCGCGAGAACGAAGCGCGGAAATCGAAAAAGGGCGTATCCACCTTTTTCCCGCGCATTTCAGGCCGCCGCGTTGTTTTCCTTCCTCGCCCCCTCGAACCGCTTTTCCGCCCCGACCTCGCGTCTCCCCCGCCTTTCGCGCAATTCGCGTAAAAACGAAAAAAAAACCCCTGGCACGAGTCTCCGACTATCGGCGAGGTGGTTTGCCCTCCCTCTCCCCCCTCTAGAAAAAGCCATCAGACGTCAATCATCGCGGAATTGATATTGCGCCGGCGAGCGGCGCGACCGCGGGGCGTTCTCGCGCGAATTTTCCCGTCGCGTCTGATCGGATATCGCGGAGCGCGACTGGCAAGGGGGTGGACGGGAGGGTGGGGGAGGGCGACGAGGTGAATTCACGCGCGGACGAGAGATAACCGTTTCTCGCCGGATTAACCCTTTGTCCGCGCGACATCGTTGTTTCCGCCTGCTACGATCGGGACTGCTTGCGTTGCATCGGCGAGCAGTCAGTCACTCGTCGGGTCAGTCTTTTCTCTCTCCATCCCCCCCCCCCCCGTTGGTTCAACAAGTAGCCGAGTGCGGATCAATCGGCCGAGTTAAAAGGGAAGAGAGCGAAACGTAAACCCACCGCGTACTCCACCGCGTTCGGTAAACGTCACCCGAGCGTTCCCGGCGTATCGTTCCGTTCCCGTTGCTCGCCGTACGCGAAACGAGGATAAAACGATGCACCGGGGGGGGGGGGCACCCGGGTGACGTTTCCGAACGCAAGAGACCCGGGACTGTCCCGGGGAAGAAAAGTGTGTGCCCGCGCGCGCGTGGAAGGGTATTTTCCTCCCGGCTTGGATTCCGTTCCCGTTGAATGGACGGCTCGCGCGCGCGGATCTTCGTCGCGAGCTGTCTAATTACGCGAGATTAACGCGTCGTTTTGCATAGACGTGTAACATATAGACTGCCGCGCTCGGGAGGACGCGCGAAAAAGCGGGAGACGACGCGCTCTGAACCGTACCAGCTTCGTCCGTCCTCGCTAAGGCCCGGTTTCACCAAACGTCGCTTAACTCTAATTTCAGTTTAACTCGCGTTTGTCTCTTTCTAAAGTAACAGTTGGAAAGAGACGCAGAACGAATTAAGCTAGGCTTAAAGTTAAACAACCTTGGTGAAACCGGAGCTAAAAGTCAACCGGTGACTATTCACTGTTTTCGATAATAACCCACTTGATTGACTTTAAGGCCCAGTTTTTCATTCTCTGATTAATTGTTAGAAAAGTT